ATGTGAAGATAAGTCAAAGGTCCTGCTCAACCATGGCTGGCTTTGCTTGGAAGCATGGAGAAAGTGATTGCTCTGTGTTGACCCTCCTCTTTGTAGACTGGACACTGGTTCAAGTCCATCTGGTGGGGTCTCCTCGGCCTCCTTGATCAAGAGGACAGGTGACCCACCACAATTACAGGACATTTTGAGAGATGCTCATAGTCCCCTGGAACTAGTTGACCTAGGAGGGCAAGGAGGTTTTTAAAGTATTCCCTTATAATGTTCTGGATCTTTTTGGTGTGTGTTATGATGGTTCCCCTTTCATCTCTGATTTTGTTGACTTGGAGGTGCTCTTTCTTTCCCTTGGTTAACTGGGCTAGTGGTCTGTCAATCTTGTTTATCTTTTCAAAGACCCAGCTCTTGGATTTGTTGATTCTTTGTATTGTTTTCTTTGTTTCTATTTCATTAACGTCTGCTTTGATTTTTGTTATTTCTTCTCTTCTGCTGGGTTTGGGTTTCATTTGTTCTTGCCTTTCCAGCAATTTGAGTTGCAGTGTTATGTCATTTATTTGTGCTTTATCTAATTTTTTGATGTAGGCACTTAGAACTAGAAACTTCCCTCTTAGGACTGCTTTTAAAGTGTCCCAGAGGTTTTGTTGTGTTCTAATGGTCGATTGTGAAGAAAGTTCTGTGGGGCACTAAATAGAAAATATATTCTTTGGTGCTTGGGTGGAATATTTGGTAGATGTCTGTTAGGTCCATTTGATGTATGGCATTGCTTAATTTAGATGTCTCTCTGTTAATTCTCTGTCCTGTTGATATATCTAATAGAGACAATGGGGTATTGAAGTCCGCTACTATTAAGGAGTTGGAATTAATCTGGGTCTTAAAGTCCTGTAGTACTGTTTTTATGAAGTTGGGTGCACAAGAGTTTGGTGAATATATGTTCATGATTGTAGTATCTTCTTGGTCAATTGTTCCTTTGATCAGAATGAAGTGCCCCTCTTTATTCTGATTATTTTTAGTTTAAAGTCTATTTTGTCAAATATTAGAACTGCAATGCCTGCTTTTTTTCTTAGTACCAATTGCTTGGTATATTTTTTTCCCCATCCTTTCACCTTAAGGTAGTGCCTGTCCTTGAAAGTGAGATGAGTTTCTTGCAGACAACAAAAAGATGGGTTTTGTTTCTTAATCCATTCACCTAGTCTGTGTCTTTTGACTGGGGAGTTCAGTCAATTGATAGTTAAAGTTATTAATGAAAGATGTGTATTGAATCTTGTCATTTTTATTTCTGTTCACATTCTTGGTAAAACTGTGCATTTCCATAGTTATACCTTCCTTGAGTTTCTTTCCATAACCCCTTGGGTATAGTCGTTCCTTTCTTCAGCTCTTTGAATTGCTTCAAGAACTCTCTGAAGGGCTGGTTTTGTGGACATGAGTTCTTTTAGCCGATTTACGTCATGGAAGATTTTTCTTTCCCCTTTGACAATAATAGACATTTTGGCTAGGTAAAGTAATCTCAGTTGGCATCTGTGGTCATTTAGAAGTGGCAATGCTTTAGTCCAGGCTCTTCTGGCTTTCATAGTTTGCCCCGAAAAGTCAGCTGTAATCCTAATGGGATTCTGTTATATGTGCTTTGTTTCCTTTTTGCAGCTTTCAGTATTCTCTCTTTGTTCCATATGTTTGGTGTTTTTACTGTGATGTGCCAAGGAGAGTTTCTTTTCTGGTCCTATGTACTTGGTGTTCTCTGTGGTTGTATTTTTGTGTTCTATATGCTTCTTGTATTTGTATGGGCATGTCTTTAATTTTGGGAAATTTGCTTCTACAATCCTGTTGAAGATCTGTTCCATACCATTGTCTTGAGATTCGTTTCCTTCCTGTATGCCTATATACGTAAGTTTAGGGGGGTTTTTGGTGTCACACAATTCTTGAATATTCCATTCTTGTGCTTTCTTAAATTTTTCATAATCTTAGCTTGAGAAGTCTAGTTCATCCACTTTATCTTCCAGTCTTGATATTCTGTTTTCTGTTTCATTCATCTTATTGGTGAGGTTTCTCCTATTGCTTCTAATTGGCTTACTGAGTGTTTTACTTCCTTCTTCATTTCAGCCTGAACATTCTTCAATATTTCTAGCTCTTTTCTGAATTCATTCTGAAGTTTATCCCTATCTTCTTTCAGTTCTTTGATTTCTTTGTTTGTGTGTTCTTTAAATTCACTGAATTCTTTTATCGTGTTTATAATTGTTCTTTTGAGTTCCGTGTCCTGTGTTATCTCTAGGGAGTTCTCATTGTACTCCTCTAGAGGACTGTTGGGGATATATTACTTTGGTTTTTCATGTTATTATTTTTTCTCTGACTTTGATGTGTGGATTTCTTTTGTAGTTTCTGATTCTTGTGTGAGAGTCAAGCTTTCCTTCCTTGAGTTTAGGTCTGCTTGTTTTTGTAAACTTTATGTGTCTTTTTGGTTTACTTGTTGGGCAGGAAAAGCTGGTTGGTCTAGGCTTCAGGTTCTCGGATATATTACTTTGGTTTTTCATGTTATTATTTTTTCTCTGACTTTGATGTGTGGATTTCTTTTGTAGTTTCTGATTCTTGTGTGAGAGTCAAGCTTTCCTTCCTTGAGTTTAGGTCTGCTTGTTTTTGTAAACTTTATGTGTCTTTTTGGTTTACTTGTTGGGCAGGAAAAGCTGGTTGGTCTAGGCTTCAGGTTCTCTCCTTCGATTTTATATTGGAGTGGCCAAATTGCTTTTTCTTCAGGAGTTCCCACAGAGGCCCACGTCAGATGAGGATCAAATGCTCTCAGGCTTTCTCCTAAGGTCTGGATCCCTCTAGGAATGATGCTGACCTCAGGAATTTGGGGCCTGGGCTGTCCTGGGAGCAGAACCCAGGAAAGATGGTGGTCCCAGGAAGCTGGTGGCTGCATCCAGGGATGCAAAGGGAGGTGGGGATGGGAAGAGGCCTCAGGGCTCCTGGGGACTACTGGTAGGAACTGGGTTGGTATGCATGCAAAGGATCAGGAAGCAGTGTGGACTGTGGGCCAAGAGGTCAGCCCAGGGGTCTGGGGTGCCAAAACAAGAAATGGACCAGTACCCAGGCCAGGAGGACAGATGGGGTCGGGGAGCTGGGAGGGTGAATGAGGCTGGGGGAGTCAAGGCGTGGTGGGCACCGTGGGACCCACCCAGGAAAGATGCTAGCACCAGGAAGCTGGTGGATGAGCCACCCAGGGAAACAAAAGTCATACAACACATCTTTTTAAAAAATATTTTATTTATGATTTTTGTTTTATGTGTATGTGTGTATTGCCTGCGTGTAGGTAAGTGCACCTGTGCCATGCAGTACCTGTGGAGGACAGAAGAGGCTGTCGGGTCCCCTGGAACTGGAATTATGGACAGTTATTGGGTGCTGGGATTCGAACCCGAGTCTTCTGTAAGAATAGTCAGTGTTCTTAACTGCTGAGCCTTCTCTCCAGCCCCCAGACAATACATCTTAATCATATTTAGAGCCCCTCTCCTATCTGACCCCCCCAAAGCCTACCCACTTAATTTCATGCATTCTGCCTTACGTGTTAAGGCCTATTGAGTCAAGTTTGTGTCCCCAGATGTCCTTCAGTGTGTTCATCCATTGGAGCCTGCTCAGCCTGTCTAGCATCACTCCCTTACAGAAGATCAACTCCCCCCACCCAGCAGTGATTAGCTGACAACAGTCCCTCAGTTCAGACTTAAGTGTGTAAGCCTCACCTTTGCTACCTATAAACTGGGCTTGAGAAATACACTTCTCTTGGTGTGGGTTTTGAGCCTTAAATGAGAAGCTGATGGGATGGCTTTAGCACAGAGCCATCCCAGGTGAGGAGAACTGGGAGTTGGGGCTCCTCTGAGGGAGGAGCATTAGGGAACATGAGACAGAAAATTTAGAGGGCATGTGAAGTGTGCTGTCTGAGGTAGGCTGTATGAGCTCAAGGAGGCTCGTGCTCTGAGAGAGGATGTTTGAGTGACAGTCTTCTCTGCTCAGTGAATAATACCCGTTCTTGTTACTGTTGTCCACAGCACAGTGCTTTACTGTCAGTCACATCTGAAGCAAGGTGACACTCTATTCTGTTTCCCCTATGCATCTGGCCCCTTCATTTACCCCCCAATTTTGCCTTTTCCCATCACTGTGCCCCTCACACTGGCCCTACTCCAGTCCCTGCTCCTCCTTTGCCCTTCCTTGGTTCAGTCTGCACTCAGAGGGGCAGGAAGCTTATGGTGTAACTTGGTATGATCCTGGTAAATCCCATCGGCCTCTGGGACACGTTGATGTTCTGAAGTGTCTTTGGGGACTTGAAGCAGAAGTTCTGTATGATGGTGGTGAGGAAGAGCAAGAGCTCCATTCTAGACAAGCCGTCTCCCAGACAGTACTGCTTCCCTGAAGAAGAGAAGAGGGAAGAGAAGGGGGTGGGGAGAGGTGACGCCTACACTCACTATTCACTAAATGCCCAGCTGCATTCGCTCAGGGAGAAGAGGCTGCAGTGACCTTTCTGAACCTGTTTCCCTATAATGAGGTGGGGTGATCCCTTCCAGGCAAGAGCAATGGGAAGTCCAAATGCTTCTTCTAGCAAACATATTGTGGAACATGGAAGCTGTGTTGTCATCCTCCTTTAAATATTTGCCAGGGGTGGTGGTGCGTGTCTTTAATCTTACCACTTGGAAGGCAGAAGCAGGTGGATCTCTGTGAGTGGGAGGCCAGCCTGGTCTCCATGGTGAGGTTCAGGTCAGCCAGGGCTACATAGTGAGATCCTGTCTCAAAAAAAATTAAAAAAATATTTCTGTGTGTGTGTATGTGTGTGTGTGCACGTGCACGCGTGTGGCCCCTTCAGTTTATGTATACCAGAGGTGTGCAGGTGCTCATGGAGGCCAGAGGGCATTAGAGCTACTCAAACTAGTTACTGGATCTGTGAAATGCCCCAGGGGTGCTGAGAACCGAAGCCTGGTCCTCTGTAAGAGTAGTAACTACTCTTAACCACCCAGCCATCTCTCCTGCCTCTGTCATCTTCTTTTAAAGAATCTGAAGAATTGCTTGTGTGTGCTGGTATAGATGTGTGACTCAGTCTGAATTTGGCCTTTTCCTGTCTCTGTAAAGGGCTTGATCATCCCTCTGCTTGATCTCTGTCTAGACACTTGGTGCTTGGGAGTTACAGGGGTCGCACCTGGCTGGCTAGAAGTTAGATTCCAAGCTGCAGAAAGGAGCTGGGCTGCACCTCAGGGAGTGGAGCTGAGGTGCGCTGCCCTGCTGGTGAGAAGTGGCCTGACTCCCGACAGTACTTTCTTACCAATGGAAAATGGCACAAAAGCATCATTCTTCTTCAGCTGCCCCTTGTCGTCCAGAAAGTGCTGGGGATTGAAGTCTTGGGGGGAAGGGAAGAACTTTGGGTCTGTCATCAGAGAGCCCAGTATAGGGAACACTTCAGTGCCCTGGAAGGAAGAGAAGGAAGGGAGATTTGTTAAGGTGGGTTGAGGGATAAAACGTCTCATAGATGAATGAGGGAGAAATTATAGTCCCAGGTGAGGAGAACTGGGAGTTGGGGCTCCTCTGAGGGAGGAGCGTTAGGGAACATGAGACAGAAAATTTAGAGGGCATGTGAGGTGTGCTGTCCGAGGTAGGCTGTATGAGCTCAAGGAGGCTCGTGCTCTGAGAGAAGATGTTTGAGTGACAGTCTTCGCTGCTCAGCACAGAAGTTGAGGTGTGCTGTTCGAGGTAGGCTGTATGAGCTCAAGGAGGCTCGTGCTCTGAGAGAGGATGCTTGAGTGACAGTCTTTGCTGCTCAGCACAGAAGTTGAGGCATGTCTTTCAAGGCAGGAGGTTCAGTAGAACTTGGAGTTCCTGCCCTGAGACAAGATGTTTGGGACATGGACTTGACTCTCCTGAGGCATGAGGTCTAGGGAAGGCAACAGCCATCGGTAGGCTCTGAGGGGAGGGTGACATGGTGGCTGGGGAATTCTTTGATTGGATGAGTGGGACCAGAGTTGGAAAGCTATGGCTAGAAAGACATGTGAGGCTCCAAGAAGTGGGCCGGAGGCTCCTCTAGGGTGGGCACCTCTGCACCTTGGGAAGGAAGAGGCTGTGAAATGTGGTATCCTTGGTAACCCTGCGAGGTATACCCAATGGGGTGAAATTTGCAGATCTCTGGATCTCATGGATCACAGCTTCTGTGTAGGGCATCTTCAAATGGTCCTCAAATTGGGGCTGCCGGTTTCTGCCAATCACCAGGTCAATCTCCTCATGGATCTTGGCTGGAGGAGAAGGGGGGAATACATTTAAATACCCAGGGGAATCAGAGCAGGGGCAATATTCCAAATATGTAAAACTATAAGCATTACTTGCATCTATAAACAACATACATGTAAACCATTCAAAACATACCTTCCACATCAAACTTTTGGCCAGTGTAATTTTATCTTTTTCCTGATAGAATCATAGGGAAGAACAAGGGACAGTTCTCAAGGAATGGCCTCATTGAGCAAGAATTTGGAAATTGGTGTGCAATCAACTTGGAAGCGTCTAATGCTTCAACAGCTGGTGAGAACTCTGCTCCTGCCTGTAAGTTCAATATCACCCTGTCCCTGCATGGCAGGTCCTGTCTGAGCATTCGGGGACCCGGGAGAGTGGGGTCATTGTGTCAACTCAGAGGAGGCTGCAGTGTCTGTGGTCCCCACTTCCTTCCCCCACCCCACCAGCCTTACCCTCTACATCCAGGTGCTTCAGGAGCAACAGGAAGCTATAGCGCAGGGTGGAGCTGACGGTCTCCGATCCTGCAAAGAAGAGACTCAGTGTTGTCATCACCAGGTTCTTCATGTAGAACTCTGTATTGGGGTTCTT